TTGGCCGTTGTGTCTTTATGCATGTTAGGAAATTCAAAATTTTAAAAAATATTGAGTGTGTTTGAAATTTTTGCTGGAGCGAAAGAACGCAGATGCTGCTTTTTATGAAAAATTGGTCCAAACTCACGATGAACCTACCAGAAAAGTCTCCCTAACTTCATAATCTGTGCAAAAAATGACCATTTGGTGGTAGGAATCATCGCGAAATGACACGCTTACCTGAAGCACACATTAAACATAGCTTTTTATCGGACGAGAAGCGGTGACTGTAACGCCATGTCAGTTCGCCTTCAGCTTTAAGGGTAGGCAACATTGGCTCCCACGTGGTCGAATAGTGGTATCACTGTGAATGTGACGCATACTCGGAATACACACGAAACATAGCTTTTTACCGGAGGAGCTGCAGTGACTTCAACATCATGACAGTTCGCCTTCAACTTTTAGGGTAGGCAGCTTGGGCTCCCACGTGGTCGAATAGTGGTATCATCGTAAAATGGTACGCTTACTCGGAATGCACACACAATGATAGCTTCTTACCAGACGAGAGATGGTGACTCTAACGCCGTGTCAGTTCGCCTTCGACTTTTAGGGTAGGCGACGTGGGCTCTTACGTGGTCGAACAGTGGTATCAGCGTAAATGCCACGCTTTCTCGGATCATCAACCGACGCGAAGAGGGGACTTTAAAGCTCTAATAGCTCGCCTGTAATTCTAATTCTGGACAATTTGAGCCGACAGACCAACAGATAGTTGTAAACCGAATAGTTGTATCGCTGGAAGGTGGGTCGTAAGCTTAAGTTTATATGGTCTCTGTAAATTGGCAAGGATAATACATTAAATTCAAATATTATAAGAAAATGAATATTTGAAATGATACATTAAGAATTATGTGTATTCAAAGAAAGAATATTCAGTTGAAAAGAAATAATCTTGCGAAAAATGCAAGTGGAAAAGTGAAATCGTTTCCTCACGCACAGCTCCAAAATGAAAAATAAAAATAAACATCGTGCAACAGTCCCATTCAGCAAATCAAAAAAAAAGAAGAAAAATTGTCACCCTGTCGCAGATGTCTCTACTCTCGCTCTCATTATCATCGGATCGCGTAACATAAAACTCTATGGAAATATCTGCATCGTAAAAATGAGGATGTGCGCGCACCTACTCACAAAGCAAAGGGCTCTCGTTAAAAACTTAGGCGGGCCCGGCTACGAGGGCGTATTGAATCCTGCCTTTAATGCACCGAGCCTGTCATAAAGTGAAGGAATGCGCCAGGTTTTCTTGATATCGTCGGGGACTCTGTCAGGCCGCACGCGGCGTGAGAGAACGGCTCATTCCGCTCACCGCGAGCTTTCTTTTTATCATCCGATGAAACGGAATAAATTATCAATCACTCGCATGACAGTGCCTCGGCTCGTAAAAACTTTTCGCCGCATCCTAATCGATATAACTCCCATGCAATCCGGATTCCGCTAGATTTGATTTCCGCGATTTTGACGGCCGGCCGTCATCTGCCCGCTGCCCGGTTTGTTTCTTCGTTCGAACCCCACACAGGGAAAAAAAACACATTTGATCTAGAGTCCAGACTCTTGAAAACATTGACAAGAAAAAGTACTCTTGATTCAATCAGAATCCAGCTTAAATCAAGAACCAAGCCTCTTAATTTAAGCGGATTTCGTTTTTATTCAAGCAAAAATCCGATTGAATCAAGAGTACTTTTTCTTGTCATTGTTTTCAAGAGTCTGGACTCTAGATCCAATGTTTTTTTTCCCAGTGCATCAAACTGGCCCAGAGACGGTACGACGTTTCAAAATTTCCGCCGCCATTTCATTTTTTTACAGAGGAATTGGATTACATTTTGCAAAAAGGAGCCAAGAGCATTCCAATGTTGCTAAGATTGTGTAACTTACATTTTTTCAATAAAAGTACTGACATCGTGCAAAAAATTAAATTTACAAAGGTTATTTTCGTATTGAAGCTATAGTTCATTGGAAGTAAAGATGACATTTGTTTAGACAATCTGTTTATATTTGCAAGGCAAATAAAGTTGCACAATCTCAGCGACATTGCGGAATGCTCTTGGTTCCTTTTTGCAAAACGCAATCCAATTGCTCAACGAAGCTGTCCGAAAATTCCATTGAATTTTCTTTGTGCTGCCGGTAAAATTCAGTAAAATTTAGAAACAGATTCAACCAACAATTTTTCTGTAAAAATATAAAATGACGGCGGAAATTTTGAAACGTCGCATGGCGCTTGTGATACATGGGCCGGAAGGGGACGATATTTTAGAGACCCCATAGACTAGAAACCTGAGCAATGTAATCAGGGGAGGCAAATGCTAAGGTCTGAGGTCAACGCTACTTTCCGTCTAATGATGACTGATGAGTAATTTGCTGAACGTAAACAGTCCGCCGAATGATGACTGATGCACTGGAAAAAAAAAAACACATTGGATCAGAGTCCAGACTCTTAAAAACATCGACAAGAAAAAAATACTCTTGATTCAATCAGATTTAAGCTTAAATCAAGAACCAAGCCTCTTAATTTGAGCGGATTTCGTTTTGATCTAAGCTTAAATCTGATTGAATCGATGGTCCTTTTTCTTGTCAATGTTTTCAAGAGTCTGGACTCCAGATAAAATGTGTTTTTTTTTCCAGTGAGAATGTCGCGGCGAGCACTTTACTAGGCGACGTTTTGCGAATCAGGTGAGAAATGTTAAACTGATTGCTTAACTCTTTATTTGGTCTTTAAAGAGCTGGGGGCGAATCAGAGCATTAACTTCCGATATTAACTTTTACACGACAATAACACTTCTGAACTGACCCTCCATACCTTTCTCTCTCGGATCTCGGGGGAGCTCGTTTTAAGATGATTTGTCCCAGGCCGGATGGCATGAACAAAAAAAAACTATTGTAAGATCGGACATTTTCGTGAAATATTTAATGAAATTCCATCGGGCCGTGAAATTTTTGAAAATATGATACATTCATTTTAGGATGGGGGATGGTGTCAGCACTAGAGAACATTAAATTGGAAAACCGCTATTTTTTTACTTCATATAACTCTGAATTTTTATTTCTTTTTTTCATACGTGAAACACATGTGACAGAGATGAGGAAAATTATGCATCCAAACAACAATGATAAATCGCGTAATCTTTGTCACGTTTTATGACATAATGATGTGAGTTTTATTTTTGTCGAGTTCATGCGCTGGAAGTTGGAGCCATTAGCCGCTGCGCGTCAGTCGTAATTTTTTAAATCTGAGATCTATTTTTAAATTTGAATTTATACATTCAAACATGGTTGACGACCGGCCGATTGCTGAAAATTCTTCGCATCGCACAAATTTTAGGGCACCGCTTAGTAACGCACCAATGACTCGCAGCAGCACCTTTTCGTCGCAACTCACATTATTTTCGTCGTTTCTCTCTCCAAAAAAAAAAAAAAAGTTTTCTTCGAAATTTGCATTTTTACGAGGAGAATCTTTGCTATTTTTAACGCAAAAACTAGAAAACTTTTGGACGAAAACTGCACAGGTTCATTCGTATGAAAATTGTTTAATTTATTGCGTCAATTTTGCAGCATTAGAACGGAGTTGCAAAAGCAGAATTTAAAATCAGACTGATAGAACTGATGCCTCGTGAATGCAAAAAAAATCCATAAGTCGATGGCTAAATGTCTTTTTTAAGACGAAATTGAAACAACGAATATGTAGGCACTATCTATATCATAGGAAAGTTAAGTATCAACGAAATAAAATGGAGAATCAACCTTGAAAAGGCACAAAAGGTCAAGGAAATTCTCTGGCCAACCTGGAAATTTTTTCTTTGCGCCAAAAAGCAAGTCTGTGGGTTTAGAATTGTTTCTCATTTCCACAGACCTCACTTTGGTGAAATGTTTCGTCAGGTAGCTATTTCTGAGAATATAGAAATTTTTCTCCAACTGTTCGATCAAAGGCATAAGAAATCCAAGAAAATTTGTCACCTTGCACGAAAGTACTTCTTTGATAAAGTCTTTAATTTTGATCACAAAAAATGGTGTTTTTTACACACTGTTCCCTTGATCCACAATGCAGCTTTTTTTAAAAATTCTGCGAAGGGTGCGGGAAAATTTCCAGTAAAAAAATAAATAAGCACAACACAAATCTAGAAAAAAGGAACAACTACTACTTTTTTTGTCTGGCGTTTAAGTCTCCATGAAAAATCGTGTAAAACTTAAAAGAAAGGAACATGAAACACGCAACTTAAAAGTTTAAATCAGTGGACCTTTTTTCTTGTCAGTCGTTGAAGTCTCCATACTCCATAATTCAATTTTCCGTGGATTTTTTAGTCTCTAAAAAGTCGATTTCGTCATCTGAGGTCTCAACCATGTACACTACAGTGCCACTCACCAGACTGAGGTACAAACCTAGTCACATGTTACCACTAATGCCGGAACTCAGTTATAGGAGAAAAGTACAGCTCGGATGAAAGGTGGCTATGCGTGCGAGTAGGTGCTAGAACATAGTAGGCTATTACCAAGAGGTTAGAGGGTGGAAAAAGAGACAGCCAATTCTAAATAATAGGAAATAGCTGAAAGAGAGTCACCTGTGAAGAAAATGCCTGGTGTGACGAGGAAATTATCATAACATTATCTTATTTTGGTCCAGGCCAAAGGAGGGTCTGACCTTTACGGTTGTAAGGACAGGTCGGATGGGAATAACTCTCGGCTCTCAACATTCTTTTCTTTATTTCATACGAGTGAAAGAGAAAGAAAGGAGGAGGAGAAGAGAGAAAAAAAAGCCGCGCATAAATTCGACCGGACGGTTCTTCCACAACGGGAGCGAGGGAGAGCGGCCGCGCGAGAGAGACGGAGAGCCCGAGAGACAGAACGCCATCTTGAATACTTCTTGTGCCGTGGCCCATCTATTTGCGGCTGTAAAATCCCCGGCGGGCGAGGGGAGAGGCAACAAGAATGTTAGTCTTCAACTCTGTGAGGAGCACCAGTTTACGCCAGTCTCCCGGGCCCGTACGTTGAACGCGCGACGCGTATCGCTCCCGCTCCATCGAGGCTGTGCTCCTGCCTCTGCCTGGCAACACCCCGGCCACATTTACCATAGTTTTTTAACCTCTCTCCACAATTTCCACCGCGTCGCAGTCTCGTGTCCCGTTCGGTTTTCCCGATTTCCTCCTCTCTTTACTATAATGTTAACCTCTCGGAGTTGCGGAGCTTAAGATTGTGCCGTTTTCGCTTAGTTCTCATCAATAACGATTGTGTTGTTTTCTTGTCTTGTGATCGCCGTAACATACCCTGCGCCTCGCGTTGTTTTCGATCGGCCCGCGCCGCACCCCGGCCTCTGTTTCATCTCTTGGAAATCAACCCAGTGCCAATGATCTTCTTTTGCCATTTCGTTTATGTTGAATGATGATTTTGTATTGATACCGTGCTCAATTTTCTACAAGTGTGTTTATCAAACCCAAAAAAGTGCCGTTCTATTGTTTTGAAATATTAAATCGGGTCTTTCGGTGTTTTCGCCTCATTTACTGTAAATAATCGTCCGTTTTACTTTTGTGTTCCCTTTCCGCTAAAGTCATGAATGCAGCTCGATGCGTCGCTGTTGAATCCGGTGCAAGTGCGGTTATTTAGTGACCATGATTCAGAACAGGTGACACGGTACAATGTTGTGCGTTCGGCGAAGGTGCATTGCAGGTTGCCTAATATTAGTGCAATGCCTTGTGATAGCGGCTCAGGGCCCCGGCCCTGGACCGGCGAAAAAGCGATCCCCGATGATACCGGGGGACACTCAAATGCAGTCACGAGCAGTGGACACTAGGATTCAATTGGATGTCTTGGAAGGTCAGCCCAGAGGAACCATCGTCGGGTCCATACCCATCAAATCAGGGTTCACCTATCGGTTCAACGAACCGCCCAGAGAATTCACCCTGAACTCAACCACCGGCGAAATCCGAACCACCGTCGTGCTAGATCGTGAACAGTTGGTCAACGACAGGTTCGATCTGGTTATTTTATCTAGTCAGCCAACTTATCCTATAGAGGTTAGAATTGTTGTTATTGATGTTAATGATAACGCACCTGAATTTCCCGAACCTAGTATATCAGTCTCATTCTCTGAAAGTGCAGCCGCTGGGACCAAACTACTGCTTGATGCTGCCACTGATAGGGATAGTGGGCCAAATGGAGTCACGGAGAACTATAAGATAGTTGCTGGCAACACCAATGAAAAATTTCGACTAGAAGTAACAGCATATGGAAAAGGTGAGGTATTCACCTACCTCCATCTCCAAACCACTGGCAAGCTGGACAGGGAAACTCAGGCTTTTTACCAGCTGAATATTTCTGCAGAGGACGGAGGAACGCCCGTTCGCCATGGGTATCTTCAAGTGAACGTAACCATTTTAGATGTCAACGATAATCCTCCAATTTTCGACCACAGCGATTACAGTGTCTCCTTGAATGAAAGCGTGCCCCCTGGCACGAAAGCCCTGCAGGTTCTGGCCACCGACAGTGATATCGGAGATAATGCTAAAATCACGTACTATCTCTCCGAAAGTGAAAGAAAATTCACCGTAGATCCTGATTCTGGTGAAATTTTTACCTCGGAAAAGCTCGATTGTCCGTATCAAAACTGCCCCCAGACCTTGCAGCAGAAAGCCGGCAGTGGCTGCCCGAAGAGCTGCGTTTTCACCGTATTCGCAAGAGACCACGGCTCGCCGCGGCAAGATGGCAGAACCTACGTCACTGTGAACCTCGTCGATGCCAATGACCACAATCCCATGATCAAATTCAGATACTTCCCATCGACTGCGGGTCAGGCGACCGTTGACGAAAACGCTTTGAATGGATCAGTTGTCGCTGCTGTTTCAGTCGTAGATCCCGATGAGGGCTCAAATGGTGAAACTACTGTTGAAATACGGTCAGGAAACGAAATGAATCATTTTAGATTGGAGTCAACGCAGAGTTTTGACATCGTTCGCGTTAATGGTATTTTAGACCGTGAGCACATCAACAAATACAATCTAACCATCGTAGCGACGGACAAAGGCAGTCCTCCCCGCACTGCAACAGCTTTCTTGATCATCCACGTGAATGACGTCAACGATCATGAACCGGTCTTTGAAAAAAGTGAGTACTCCGTAATTTTGAGCGAATTGTCACCACCCGGAACCTACGTTGCCGGAATCAAGGCTGCGGACGAAGATTCCGGTGTTAACGCTGAAATTTTTTACTCATTTGTCTCAGGGAATGATCAGCAGTGGTTCGATATCGATATGCATACCGGGCTTGTTGTAACGAAGAAAGCTCTGGACAGAGAAAAGCAAGGGACCGTCGAACTGAAAGTTTCAGCACGAGACGGGGGTCCGAACCCTAAATGGTCTTTCACACAGCTCAAAGTAATGATTTTGGATGAAAACGACGAAAGGCCGCAGTTCTCTCAAGAACATTTGAACGTGAGTTTTTCTGAGAACACCCCTGCCAATACACTGATCGCTATGCTGACAGCTTCAGATCACGATCAAGGCACAAACGGCAGCGTTACGTACGGTTTGTTGCCTGAAATTGAACAGCTGTATCCTGATATGTTTTATCTCGATTCGTTGACAGGCCAGTTAACCACTAGATCGAAGCTGGATAGGGAAGAAATATCTTCCTATGAAATCAAGGTCATCGCCAAAGACCAGGGAATTCCTCCCCAATCTTCCACTGCTACAGTTTCTTTGAACGTGCTAGATGTAAATGACAATAGCCCTGAATTTTATCCCTTGTTATATGTAATTCGTGTGAAGGAAAATACTGAAGTTGGAACAAGTATTTTGCAAGTTGTAGCCACTGATAAGGATGAGGGTGAAAATGCAGTAATCAACTACGCGATTGAGAGTGGCAGTGACGGATTTTTTCAAATCGACCCGAAAACCGGCAACATCTCACTGAAAGCTCCTCTCACCAAGTCGTCGAAAATTTTCTTCTCTCTGAGGGTCTCAGCCAGGGACAAGGGTGACAAGAAGGCGATGGAAGATGCCGTGGTTGAAATAATAAAAGATGAGCATGTGGAAAATCTAGAGTTCGATCACCCAACTGGATACTCGTTTCAAATCACGGAGGATCACTCCAACGAAGAAACAGCAATGAAGAACCGCGAAGTGGGTCGAGTGAAGGTGCGACTTGAGGGCCAGCATAAAACTGAACCTCCCCGGTACAAAATCGTCTTCGGTGATCCAAAAATGAATTTCGAAATCGATGAACGATCCGGATTGATTCGAACGGCCAAGTTGATCGACCGAGAGGCGGTGTCAGCTTACAGTTTGAATGTGATAGCACGATCGGGACTCATGTATGGCAAAACATCAGTCAACATTACGGTGCTCGACGTTAATGACAACGAGCCAGTCTTCATGCAGAAAAAGGATCAAATTCGAATTCCGGAGAATGCGGCCGTCGGACAGGAAGTATTTCTCGCTCGAGCGAAAGACAAAGATGCTGGCATAAACAGTAGAGTAACGTACAGCTTATCTTCCGACCCAGCCGACCAGTTTAGAATTTTTGAAGCGACTGGAGTTGTCTCCTTGAATCGGCCAATACACGCGGAAGCAGGCACCGTGCTACATCTTGAAGTAACAGCCACGGATTCCGGTGAACCAGCACTATCATCCAAACAGTCTGTTTCTGTTATAATTGAGGATGTAAACGATCACACTCCAGTATTTGACCATACCTCTTACGAGACGTCTTTGTTGGAGTCCACTCCAGTGAACGACAGGTTCTTTGCCTTAGCAGCATCTGACGCTGATCTTGGCGAAAACGCCAAAATATCTTACACCATTTCCGAAGGTAACGCAGAAGGAAAATTCGGCGTTTTCCCAGACGGCTTCATGTACGTGAAAAGTGCGCTAGACCGAGAAACGAGGGATTATTATTCATTAGTCGTAACGGCAACCGACCATGGAAAACCGCCTCGCAGTTCCATCGTTCCAGTCGTTATCCACGTAATCGACGAGAACGATAATCGCCCGGAATTCACCAACTCCACGTTCAACTTCCGAATCAAAGAGAACGAGCCGCCCGATTCTTTCGTCGGCAAGTTGACCGCCACAGACTTGGACATCGGTAGAAACGCCGAGCTTACTTTCTCACTATCGGATTCAAAAAACGACTTCGTCATCGACCCGCGGAACGGCTTCATCAAAACGCTACACGTCTTCGATCGAGAAAACTTGATCCAAGTTTCGGGTCAGAATTTTGTGTCGTTCGAAGCCATCGTCAGTGACAACGGCCTGACTCGGCTCCGCGACAAAGTTAGAGTGAACGTCTACATCACGGATGTGAACGATAACGCACCGCAATTCCTGAGGCAGCCCTACAAAGTTCAGCTGTCGGAAGGTTCCTCCATCGGCACTCAAGTCGTGAGAGTATTCACCACGGACCTCGACGAGGGGCTCAACGGGGATGTTTTCTACCTACTTTCAAAAGGGAATGAAGAAGAGTGCTTCGCGATCGATGAAGCAACCGGCCAGCTCAGCGTTGTAAAAATGCTAGATCGAGAAACAACGTCTAGATTCGTGCTGCAAGTAATCGCTCATGATGCCGCACTAAATGGCCAGCTAAGCTCCACGGCAACAATCGTTGTTGATATTCTCGATGAAAATGACAACGCACCAGAATTCACCGAGACCGAGTCTAAAATCTCCGTGCTCGAAAACACCCCGATCGGCTCAAAGCTAATTCAGTTCCAAGCTTCCGACGCAGATCTCGGTGTCAACAGCGAAATTGTTTTCTCGATCGGATCTGGGAATCGACGTGACACTTTCCACGTCGATCCGGTCACCGGTGCCCTGTTCTTGCATAAGAAGCTCGATTACGAGGAAATAACGTCGTACGTCCTGAACATAACAGCTTCCGACGGTGGCAACCCCCGACTGTCAACAACGATCATGTTCACCGTCGCCGTCGAGGATTGCAACGACAACGCACCCGCATTCCCGAACACGGCTTTCGTCCGCCAGATCACCGAGAATATCCCTATCAATACACCCATCACGGCCGCCACCGCCGAGGACCCAGACTCGAGCATCAACGGGAAGATCACCTACGCAATCACGAAGCAAGAACCGGAAGACATCCACCACCCTGGGAGATTCCACTTCCAGATCAACCCCAAAACTGGGGTCATCCACACCCTCCTGCCCATCGACCGAGAGCTGGTCGACACTTTCCGGCTCACTGTCTTAGCGACTGACCAAGCTTTACCCGAATCCACTCGACTGTCGGCAGAAAAGCTCGTGACTGTCATCGTCGTCGACGTTAACGATAACGCACCCTCTTTCGTCTCGATGAACGCTGCCGTCCTGCCATCGCCCTCCAACGACAACCGGCTCGTCATGAACGTTCTGGCTCGTGACCCCGACTCGAGCACGAACGGACTCGTCACGTACGATCTCGTGAGCGGGAACACGGACCTGTTCCGACTGGACCGAACGACAGGTGCGGTGACCCTCCGGAACCCAATCCGACACCCGGAACCGCGCTACCAAATCGCCGTCAAAGCCACCGACGAAGCCGTCCAGTCGGATAGGAAGTCCTCGGACGCCTACATCACCGTCTTCGCCGTCGGCCCGAAAAACGGCCTGGTTTTCGAGAACGAAGAGTACGGTGCCAACGTCTACGAAAACCAGCCACCGGGCACCTCGGTCCTCACCGTTCGGGCCGAACTGAAGGATAATAAGTTCGCACAAATCGAGTATTACATTACGAATGTGACCGGCCAAGGAGGCCGGCAGGTTGATCGCTTTTTCGACGTCGATACCAAGTTAGGAATAATCTCTACGGCCGATGTGTTGGACCGCGAAGCCGGATCTGATTGGTACATTGTGGAGATTTACGCCATCGTTACCAACGCCAGAGAGCCTCAAACCGAAAAAACAAAGGTAAGATTCAATAATCTTTAAAATAAATTTCAGCCCTGTACCAAACAATAAGAACAGTGGATTGGTTTTTCTGACGGTTCATTCTTGTCTCTTTGATGCCATCAAGAACGCACTATGTGCCACAATATTTTTACCAGGACACAATATCTTTACTGTGACACAAAACTTTTCATGAAATTACAGTCTTGATAGGTATCTAAGTAGAAATGTTGTGAAGCCTGGTCGATTAATTATGTGCAAAAACACGGGAATCAATTTGAATTTTTCTGGGTGATTCCCTGTTGGCATTGCTTTCAGTTGTAGGGAACTAGCCTCATTCAAAGTCCAGAACCCTGTTGGCATTTCTTTCAGTTTTAGGGAACTAGCTTCATTCAAAGTCCAGAAATTCGACTCTATTTTTTCATTTTCGACCGGTCATATATCCCTTTTTTAACTTGAAATTTGAGGAAAATTCTTGTTGCACAGAAAGAAATGAAATAATGTGCATAAGTTTTCCAGTGAAAAATAAAAACATGCGTGAGTATTAATTTTAAAAATTATGACTGCGACAACTGTCAACATTAAAATCAGACTTAAATGCTTCTATTTTTAGCAAAAACATGCAAATATCAATGCCTAAAGGATTTTAACAGTCACGCGTTATATGTATCACAATTTTTTCGCATGGATTAGAGATAAGTCGACTTTTTTCTGAAATCCGTATTTACAGCTTTAGAACAGCAGTTTTGATTAAAAAACATAGGGTCTGAATCTGCTTAGTCGAGAATTCAAACTTAAATCGCGATGTTATATGATTATGGTTTCTTCTGCCAATTTTCTGGACATAAACAATCGAAATAATGACCTAAAAACGCCGGAAATTCCTGTAAAGGAAAGTCCGAACGTTTTGAAACCTAATTAAACAGCACGTGATGTGTAAGCACAATTGTCGTAAGTGATAGTCACTGAATCGTATTTTAACAATTATTTCTTGTCAAAATTAGCAGAAGTAATATGATCTCGATAATTAATCACTAAAAGGCAAGATTTTACGTACGGTAAATGGAAAATTTTTGACAATCTCTATGCGAATCCTCTAAGTTCACGGAACCACCGTGCTTCAAAAAAAAATAAGAAAAAACAGACTACTTTGTAAAATACATGGCTAAAAAGCCTCTTGGACACATAAATTAATTATACTGCAGAATTCCCAGTTAAAAATATAAAAGGGCTCATTTTTAATAAACGTGCGTTAAAGTCTCCGGGGGAATCGAAACTTTTTGGCCTCATCACTTGATTTAAAAATTCAAGATCATTTGGTTTTAGACAATGGAGTAAAAATTTTAACTTATAGAATGGTTGATTTTTCATAAACGTGCGTTAAAGTCTCCAGGAACATCGAGAGTTTAGCCATATCATTTGGTTTGAAAATGTATGACTATTAGGTTTTAGGCGATCGGGCGAAAGGTGTAAGTTATACAAGAGGTTCATTTTTCATACATGTGCGTTAAAGTCTCCAGAGAAATCAGGAGTTTGGCCATCTCATTTGGTTTTAAAAACATATCTTAAATCACAGCGGATATTTTGCCTCAGAAAAAGTTACAGCTTTAGTAGTTTTCCATTCAGAAAGTCAAATTTGACAAGCAGTTTAATGTCGCAAACAAAGATACATAGTTGCGGATTTTCTCCGTCGATACTATATTTTTTTCAGTTAATAGATCAATAATTCTCACTAACTTTTTATTCCTTGTGCTTTATTTATTTCTTTGTTTATGTATGGGTTATTGAGATGCTTTCCAAAACTAGTTTTGTCAGTATTATCCGTGAATCTTATTGAAATTATCGGGTGAGAAACTCAAAGAATATTGCGTCAAAAAGAACGAGCAAGTTTAAAGCAGTCAGGAAAAATCGCGGAAACAACAAATTTTGAAAAGGGAGTTTTTCAACCGTCATTATCGACCTCCCGAATGAGCAGTGGTGCTCCTTAAGTCTTACGAGATGGTTTTACAAATCAGCTTGCTTTTTGAAAAATTTGAGTTTCTCTCCGCTCGTTCCTGATTTTCTGTTCCGAATATAATTTGCACCCAGTCTTAAAAGTCAAACTCTCAACAATACATTTTTGCATCCCTGAGTCATTTTTGCCCGACGATCTTTGGACGGTCAAATTATTAATGAAATAGGTAGAGCACGATGAACACTTTTGAGTAGCTCACTGGAAAAAAAAAAAAAAAAAAAAAAAAAAAAACAACACATTCCAATGAATCTAGAGTCCATACTCTTAAAAACATCGACAAGAAAGAATACTCATGATTTAATCGGATTTTTGCTTAAATCAAGAACCAAGCATGTTAATTTGGGCGGATTTCATTTTGATCGAAGCAAAAATCTGATTGAATCAAGAGTATTTTTTCTCGTCAATGTTTTTAAGAGTCTGGATTCTAGATCCAATGTGTTTTTTTTCCAGTGCATTTTATTATTTGTCAAAAGAATACATACAAGAACATAGACTAAAAACTAAAGCCGGTATCAAACGAATTTTTATCCCGACGTTTCCTGAATCTTGAAAAATGAATTATTACGAGGAAATTTTTATTTAATGGCCGATTGTACATCTAGGTAGGTAGTTTCTCAATTGGAACGTAAGCGGTTCTCGCGAGGGATGCTTTTCTACTCACCTTTTCGACGAATGCAGCAATGGTTTTCATGGCTTCCAATGGTTACAGCTACCGCATTGTCTCCCAATGGGTTCGAAACTTTTTTCTCATTCCTTTGGGTCTTTGCATATTTTCGTTTCAGAAAGTGAATACTTATGTACACTGTACATGTCTTTTGTGTATTTTCGAAATGGAAGTCATTCAACGTATATTTATTCATTCTACTTTTATCTTATTCTGTTGAAAGTTCATTCATTTTTCAATTAATCAGATGCAAATATAGTTTCTTTTCACGCGCATCGATCTGAATCGGTTTTTCTACTCATTTTGTCGTATCATTCTAAGTACAGTGCCTTTGAGATATCGTGTAAAGTTTGGAATTTTTAAATGGCTTCAGATTTAAATATTAAGGACATTTAAGTACAACGAAAGGCATACCTATGGGTTAGAAAAATGCCAACTTGCGTTTTGTGGCTCTATTTCTGCCTTTGATTGATCCTCGAGGGATATCATGGAATCTTGATGTCTCTTTTTAACGTCCCAATATTAGACCAGCATCAATCGGCATCTACTAATTTGATGTTCACAGAGGAAAACCTGCATTCCGCGGCGAGTATACTATGTCAACGACTTTGTTCGTCGTCAATTTAAGACCACGAGTTGTTCTCTCTAATTTTGTTGCTCCTGCGACTTAAGAACGTAACTTCATTTTCACGTGAGCCCTAGAAGTCATGGAGTTGTACGAAGGACGAGGTCCGTCTCACTTTGCAGGTACGCTCTTACATCAGAAGAGTGACGATTTGTGTCTTGCATCTAATGTCAATATTCTGCTCAGGGAAACGGATTTCGTGTAGTTAGACTAATGGCGATGAAAACATTTTGAGCAAAAGATCACGTTTGAATCTCGTCCAAGTGATTAATTTAATTGGTTGTCGGAGCTTCGAATCGACAGTGGAATCATAAAATGAGATTTCCTCTCCCTCGTTCAAATTTCTTGGCTTGCGATGAAGCAATAACGTTTGATTCCTAGCATTTTTTCAAGTTGCATCACTGACATCGACGGAAATCTCGGAGTGACGGCGCTTGACTGACGAATTCAATTCTTTCACGTGCAACAGCCCCGCCCAATCATATTTTACTTTTTGACAGATATATCGCCTTGGAATAAAATTGTGTCCCTTTCATCTTCCTCCTTTCGCAGACATCTTAATATCCAATAAAGCACAATTTTCATAAGCGGACGCACCCCAAGTAAATTTTGCCACGGGAAAGGAATCGCAAGATAATATGTTCATAACATACAGTGGCGTGGCGTACTTCGCGATTTATCGATATAACCCCATTTGAAGCTGTGGTAAACTATCGATTATTAAGGTGCTCGTTGCGAACACCCTACTTATCGCTACTTTTCCATAGGTTTAAACTGTAGATCAATCGATTTACCGAAAAGTACACCACGCCACTGATAACATAGCGCACTCTAGTCCCGACGAGGACCTCCATTGGAACATTTTTTTTAAATTGAGTCGTCTCAGGAGCAAATTTGAGGAATTCTCACTAACATATTGATTGAATCAAAAGTGAAAAGTGTGCCGCACACTTATTTAGCAGAATCTCTTATATTTCTTGGAAGAGGCCAAGTAGATTTTTGGGGGCGGGGGGGGGGGGGGCCCCTGGCCGCAAATTAGTTCAGCCCATCTTAAAGAACTTATATTTTCCCGGACAACTTACTAGCGCTCATCCTTTTGATTCGCTGCGTTGTTATGTTCTATTGCGGGTATTAGTTTCAAATGTTCTCATACCCATTACTGCGCGTGGATTTTTTCAACATTACCAATTTTAGCAGCGACCATTGGGACATTGAATACTCAAAGGAATTTTTTGTTAATCGGAAAAAATCGACAATTCTGAAGCGGATATCATTGTCATCGGCATTCGACATCGGAAATTTTGTATACCAGACATTTAAAATAGGAAGTTTCCACTGGAAATACTGAAACTAGAATCGAAACTGCTCATGTCATAATTCTAAAGTAAGCATAATTTTTCTCTGAAGGTCCTACGCTAACGGAACGCGATAGTTCGCGATTTCGACAATAGGCATTACGTGAACTAAATTTTATGATTCTTTAGACTACTTGTAATTAGTAAAAATTTACTACCGGACCAGTTTGATTTACGAGCGAATTTAGGCGCTAGGAGGCTGTCAAATCATTATGAGCGATGAAATAAAAACTGTAACACGTCGTAAAAAAGGCATGCAAAGGCGTGGAAGGAGGCACTGCTCTAATTGACCCAATCAGCCGGAATTAATCCACCAATCGTTTCGCAAGAAGACTCATTATTCCATCCGTTGGGCGCGAATCC